TGTTGAATTTCAACCTAATAGATTAAAATAAATAAAATACATTTTAATAATAAAAATTATACTTCATTTTAATAATAAAAATTATGATATATTTAATAATAACAATTATGCTTCATTTAATGATATAAATTCTACTACATTTAATAATAAAAATTATATACTGCTTACTACTTTTAAAAATTCTTGTTTATATCCTCACAATTATCAAGACTTCTTAAACAAACGTTCATTTGTAACTCTCTACACCATGTATTCTCCTTTCGATCGAATGCTACAATATATCCGCCAGTCCATATAGCCTTAAAGACAGTACCAATACCTCCTTAGCAATATATTTTATATTTGTAAATTTGTTAAAAGGTACCCATTCCATAATATCTCTGTGTTAAGTTGAGTTTGTTGAATAAATTTATCAATATCATGATTGCCACTTGTCCAATTATTAAATTCTTCTTTAAATCTTAATTGAAAAGAATAATAAACATAACAATACATTGAGAGATACGATTTAAAAATAAACGTGATGCGTTTTACTGATTATAAGAAAATTTTGGTATAGAACTTACCGGCTATTGTGACGACACATGGTATGTAGTTAATTTATAATTGCATTAATGCTATAATGATTTTTAGTGTGATTTACTGTTTAAAAAAAAACTATTACAGAACTTACTTGCTATTTTGGTAACACAGTATGTGGTTATTAATTATCGTGTTATATCGCTTATAAAAAAATTTATTATAGAACTTACCGACTATGGTGATGCATAGTATGTGGTTAAGTTAGATATTGCATTAGAATTATTGGATTATTATCGTGATTTACTGTTTGCAAAAAAAATTTAGTTGCAGAACTTACTGGCTATAGTGACACACGGTATATAATTGAGTTGAGTTATTGTATTAGAATTACATGATTTTTGTCATGATTTGTAAAAGATTTAGTTACAGAACTTACTAGCTATAGTAACACATGAGTATGGTAAGGTTAATTATTGCATTGGAAGTATTATAATTTTTATCGTAATTTACTTTTTATAAAATAATTTTGTATGACTTACTTTCTATTGTAGTAGCACACACATTATATAGATAAGGTCAGCTATTGCATTAGATTTACTATTTGTAAAAAATACAGAACTTACCGACTATGGTGACAGACAATATATGGTTAATTATTACATTAGAATTATCATGATTTCTATTGTGACTACTGTAGTTAGGCGAAACTTTTTTGGTAAATGGCGAAAGTCGAAACTGGCGGAACCTTGAAACTCTGATGAGACGTCGAAATTCTGGCGAAACCCCTGGTAAAGCTAAAAACCCCTGAAGAAAGTCAACCACAGCGAAGGTCAAATCCTCTAAAACCTTGGAATGACTGGGTCATGTTGGTAAATCAAAAGATTTGCGTGTGGCTAAACAAAGCGATAGCGTTTCGGTTATATTTAAGTACTATTAAAAGAAAACTAGACTTCGGGTTTTTGAACTTATAATAAATCAATTCCGCCTTGAAAATTCAAAGTCAGAAATCCTGGTTTCTTTTAGTAGGCTTATCTATAGATTAATATTATTTGTATAAAATAAAACTTATCCAAATTTTTAAATAAATTTATGGGGAATTATACTTTGGCCCGGGTCAAAATGACCCCCGGTAAAATTTTAGGGCTAGTGTTGACCAGTATTATGTTGATGTCAGCCAGGTTTTTTACACTAAAAATCTGACTGGTATTAACAAAATTCAGCCCGCACTAACACTAAATTCTAGGGGCCATTTGACTCGGGTCAAAATAAATTTATTGTTTTATAGTTTAAGATTTTCCTCTTTAGCATTTTATCGTTAAAACTTTAGCTAATTACTATTGTTGTTCGAAATCGGCGAGTCTGTCGCTAAACTAATCCAACTCTCGCGTAACCTACGTCGGCTAAGTCGAAATAGGCGCGTTAGATTTGGCTGGTGGTTAAGTACTTGTCTCTTCTATTTGTGTCTTTCCTTCAACCTCTTCTCTACTAATCTAGTCTTCTCTTGTCTACCTCAACCGGGATTACTCTACGTCGAATCGGGGTTGGGACTCTTCTGCAAAACATACATTTTTGATATACCTGCACCTACTTTTTTGATACACCCGGATAGTGTTGTTAGGCAAAACCTAGAGGTTTTGGCATAGGCAAAAGTCAAAACTAGTTTTGATTTTTGCCAAAAAAAAATTTAAAATGGCAAAATGACAAAACTGGCAAAACTAGTAAAACTGACAAAACTGATGAAACTAGTAAAACTAATAAGACTGACAAAATTAAGTAAAATTGTCAAAATTATAAAAGGTAATAAAATCAAAAAAATATAATAAAGTTAGAAAAATATAATAAAATTACTAAAAGATAAAAAATTTGGTTTAAAGACAAAAATTAAAAATAATTAAAAAAATTATAATTTTTTTATATAATTATTAATTTTTTATTTTTTAATATAGTTTAATATTAGTTTAGATTACAAATAAACTAGTCTAAACTCTTATTATTGTATATAATTTTTATTTTTTATACCAGAAATGGAGTGCAATGAAATGCATTGTTTCATGGTGAGTGAAGTGTCTCTACATTATATATGATCCTAAAAATTTATTTGTCTTTTGATGATCTGCATTACCATACATCAATGCATAGTAATGTACTACTTATATGATACCCAGATTTTTTTTACATACATTCTGTACAGTGTGTATCTAATGATTTAATTAGAATAGTATATAGTAAATTAGTACAGTATAGAAACATAAATAGGGCAGATATTTGGAAATTATAATAGGATGTATGATTTGTAAAAGAAAAATTTCTTGAAAAAGACTAATTTTCTTATAACTTTATACAAAAAAAGAACAATGTTTGCACTTGCCATAATTCTAAATATAAAAATGATTTATTTGTAAAGGATTAGATTTTCTTGTTTATTTGGCATGAAGATGTAAGAATCATTGATGTGACAAATAAGCATTAGTCAAATAATTATATTAACTAATTCTTATTAGTTATATCAAATAACTCATTACATCTCTGTGTTAAATAAATAATAAATTGATTTTACAAACCTATGTTAACCATTCTATTATTAAAATTTTACTTAATTTTCATATGTCTATACATATTTATACAAATATATATTATTATTTTACTAACTATCTTAGAAAGGATTAGTAAAAATTTTGCTTATATACCTACAGTTAGGAATGAGTCACTGTACAGCATTATGCAACCTGATCAGAATTATACTAGCTAGCTACAATTCTAACTAACCTGGATTCTAAAAGTCATACTAAACAATTTTTAAAAATTCTGTTAAATACAGTACATAATGTACTGTTATATAACATATCACTATACATGTCCAATAGTACAACAATCTATATATTTATTAGATGCAATACTAATACTTTTTATGTCTTCTATTTCTGGTTTTGCATAACAATGTTGTTCAGCTATTTTATTAATTACTTATAGCTTTAACAGTTATTACTGGATTGATGACCTTATCTAATAGATAAAGGAGTTTGAAATTAGGAAAAGCAATAGCTATTAGAATAAGTGTTGGTTAGATAGTTCAAATAAGCTCTAGAACTGTTTTATAGTTAAAGTATTTATGAGTAATCTGGTTATAGTTCCAATTGAAGTTGTGAATTATAAATATAAGTATTCAGGCTACTCTATTTTTGTTTGAAATTTTAGTCCAATTTCTTGATCATAAGCAACCAGTTGCCTATATAAAATTTTCTATATAATTATACCAAATAAATAATATTTGATAATAAAGTGTATCTTTCTTCTGTTAAAACTTTTGGTGTTAAGTATAGTAGAACTCTATAAACTCAAATAAAATTTACTATATTTGATCTAACAAAAAATAATTAAAGATAGTAATAATATTAACAAATTACTTACATATATATTAAAGCTTTAATAATAAAATACTAAAAAAATCTTAACAATATAGCAATAAATTTATTTAAATATTTAAATAAGTTTATTTATACAAATAATATTAATATATGAATAAGTATTAATTAATGAAAACAGAATTTCAAATTTTGATTTTCAAGACTAAATTGATTTATTAGTTCAAAAGCCTGAATTCTAGTTTTCTTTTAATAATACTCAAATACATTAAAAGGCTATTGCTTTGTTTATCACTTTTGCATATTTGCATATAAGCCAAGTGCTATGCTTAATAACCTTATACAAAATATTTTGATTTGCCAATATGGCTTAGTCTTTTCAGAGCTTAGAGGAGTTAAACCTCATAGTGCTTGACCTTTTTTAAGAATTTTAGATGTTTTGCTGAAGTTTTACCATTTTGCTAGAATTTTATTATTTTGTCAGAGTTTTGTCATTTTGTCAAAATTTTGCCTTTGTCAGAGTTTTGCTGTTTTGTCAAAGTTTTGACAAGTTTTGACTTTTGTCTAGTTTAGTTTTGACTTTTGTCATCTACCAAAAATAGGTTTGCCTAGCAACTGTATACCTAAATGTACTTCAAATTTTTCTATACTTTTTTGATAGCCAAAAATTTAAGTCATATAATATATGTAGTATATATATATAATCTATATATACATATATATATAAGTAAAATAAAGTAAAAAATATTAAAAAATAATAGAACAAAGTGAAACCTAAGTTGTGAAATAGTAAATTCACTTTGTAGTTTGTGTTAGGATAAAATTTATATTTTATTATGTTTTTATTATATAAAAGTAGATTTATTCTCAGATAAAGATTATAGTGAATTTTACTATTCACAACTCAGGTTTTATTCTGTTATAAAATAATTAGTAATATAATGTAATACATATGTCACATTACAAAAAATAAATAAATAAATAGTAATTCAATCAACTTTAATTTTGTTGTAAATGTAGTTAATGTGAGTTTATAAATTTAAAGCAAAAAATAAAAGCAAATATTATAAACTTTACTTTTAAACATGATTTTTTCATATTTTATTCTTTTATAAAATGTTTAAAGACCAAATTATCTATAATAATAATAACTCAGTCTTAGCTCCTTTTGAATGGATAGCTGAGTGGTATTTACTACAACATCTAATTTTAAAAAATATGTATTTAAAGTTTTAAAGTTATTTCTATACAATGAAACTAATTTGTAATGAGTTAATTCAACTTTATTATGTAGATGATGCTGTTGATTTTACAAAGTAAATGGCTTCTGAAATGCAAAAGTCAATAAATCATATTAATAATATTTTAAAACTTACTAATAAAGATTAAGAATATGTCAACCAAATTTAAGCTGCATTTAAAAAGAATAAGCTGTGTTGATCATAGGTTATGTATTGTTTTGGTAATAGAAAAATTTGTCAACATTAATGTGGTGGTATTGGAGAATGTATATCAGAATGTTCAAATTTTAATTTACCTAATAATCTAATAAATAGAAATAATATGCACTGTTGTTCAGTTAAAGTTTATTTATTTCATAATTATCATATCTTAAATCAGATCATCAACTTTATATTAAAATTGAAGAAACACATTATTCTTCTAATATGGTAAATATTAGTGTTTTACAAATTACAAGAATTGATTTGACATGCCAAGTTCGAGACCAAATTATTATTAACTAACATGCTGATCATCAAACAACAAAAACCATAAAAAGAAAATTATTATATTTATTAATTAGTGCAGATGAGAAAGATTTATATAAAGCATTATTAAATAGTAGAGAAATTTACAATAATAAGAAATTAGAGAGATTTATTATTCATGAAGATAAGAGGTTAAAAGATTATACAGATTCATAGACAGTTCTTTATTAATTTATTAAAGAAATCTTAAAACCTAAAGGCTATATTTTATATTATCAATAGCTGGATTTATCTAAACCAGAAACTTCTGCCAAATATTACTATCAATTAACAGTGTCTGGTAAATTTTGGTTGTGAAATAAAAAAAGTTTTGGGTAACTTTGCATTGGTGTTGATGGAAAATATGATCTTAATATTGAGCATGCTCCAATATTAACTATAGTTATTAAAAATAATGTCAAACATAGAACTCTATTAGCATTTGGTATATTTATTTGTTTATTTATTTATTTTATTATTTTATTTTTTAATTATTTATCTATTTATTGATTTTTTATTTTTTTTTATTTAAATAATTAATTACATTATTTAATAATTACAGGGTTGAGTAATAAAAAAAATAATTGATTAATATGATTAGTAATTAATACAGTTAAACAAAATATACCTTATAACAAACCTTCATGTAAGCATTTATAGCATTATAAAAATCTTTTAAATAATAATGAGTTAAAGAGAATTCACAACTGTAATATCAATCAAGAATAGAATCTCTATGCAATAATTGATAAACATCAACCTACTGAACTTGAAGTTAAAGAACTTATGTGTAGAATTATAGTTTGCTAGTTTTACATTATGCAAGCATTTGGTAATAACCTAAAAGAGTAGAACATTTCTTATTCATTACAATTAGTTTTATTTATTTATTTTATTTATTTATTTTTAATATATATTTATAATATAAATTAATTTAAACATAAATATATAATTGTATTAGAATTCAAGCTAGTAGGTCAATGTTGTACTGAGAAAAAAGCCTTTGAAATAGCAAATTATTACAATAAATTTATTGTAACACTTCCTCTTACTCAAGAGCAAAAATCTTCATTAATTGAGAATTTGAACAAAAATTAAATATGTAATAAATAGAGATTACAGTTTATTAATACCAGATGACTTGTAACTATAAATAATACAAGTTTAATAACTACCAATAATTATATCTAAAGAATGAACTGTACAATTGAATCTAAATTATCAGGCAGACAAATAGTTGTTACATTTATTAAGCAGCTTTATGGATTAAAATTATTATATGAAAATCTAAATAAGAAAAAAACAGATCAAGTAATATATGAAGCAAATTTAGTTATATTATTTAATACACAATTGATTAAACAAGTAAGTATAAACTATTTAATTTAAATAAATACATATAATTATTGATTCATATTAATTTAATTTTAAAATTGTTGTAAAAAATAAACTATCCAAAATAACATCATATATGAATTAATATTTGAATCAAAGAAGGTTGTATTTTCTTTTAGGCTTAGTTGAACCATCTGATTACTTTGATTATTATTATGTTAAAAAGTATTATAAATCAGAAGTTATTGATTTGAATTTTAATGATGAGTTGATAGAAGTTAAAAAAAGTAATACTATTTCTCTTTAACTAATGATAGAATTACTGACTAGTGATTGTAAAGTTATAGTAAAAGATGGGCTTTATATTACAAATATAATTATTAGTAAATATTTACAATATTTAAATTATATATGAAATGGATCATTTTATAATGTTTACAAGCATTGTCATATTACAAAAACTTTTTCAATATCATAAGCAAACTTTACAAATGTAGTACATAAAACAAAACATAAACTGGTTAGTTATTTTAAAAATAAAAAATGAGTTATGTTTCTAAACAATAAAAACAACAAGATTTATCTTGGATATACTGATGAAACATATTAAAAAATAATCTGTCTTTATAATAATAAAGGTATATTATTAATTATCAATATAAATTTAGTTACAAAAAATAATCCAACTTATTTAGACATTATAGATACATATATTTTTTATTCTTTTAAGAAATCATCAAATGTTTGTACAGATCCCTTTCAATTATTAGAACTAAGTTATCAGTAATTAATAAATAATAGTTCATTTTCAAAACCTTTAGCTAAACCACACAAGCCTAGCTATATCCTATATTTAATTCAAACTAATAATATTAATGATAAAAGTCTATCACCTTTGGTTCAAAAAAGAAAAATAACCAATATTTAAAAAGCAAAACACAAGATTAAAGTAAATCAAAATTATTTTATTTAAAATAAAATATTTGTATCCTAAATTTAAATTTATTTTTCTTTATATTTAGAGCCATCATGAAAAATCACTTTATTCAAGTCTTGAGATAATCTCTAATTCAACTTTACAAATTAATAAACAATATTCAATAACTAAGATGCACTTTTCTTTTGCAGCACATGAGTCTCCATTTTAGCTACAACTAACAACATCTGCAACTTAGTTAGTATCAAATATAAATACTCAATTTCAAGTTAATAAATTAAAAACACTTGCTTATAAATTGAAATTTGTGCATTAATATGTTTTAAATGTTATTAAATGATGAATATAGTTAAATAACTTGTAATGTAATAACTATGTGCTATTTGAATAGTTATTTTGATAAAACTGAGTTTGTGCATAAACACTATAGTTATGTATATTACAAAGTCTTTAATTCTTAAATATAAAATTTAACTAGAATGCTAGAATTTAACATGATATATTAGCATTGTTATAAGCATCAGCTTTATAACTAAATAGTTTTATTTCTAACAATATTTAATGCTAGAATTAGGTTTAATATTACTATTAGTCTGAAATATAACACTAAGGTAATTTTCTTAGCAATATTAGTAATATCTATTAACTAAATAACATGTTCATGAAAGTTAGAATTTTAACAAATAACAACAATGGTCTAATCATATGCACATGCATATGCATGTATCAAAAAAGTATAGAAAAATTTGAGATACATTTGAGTGTATCAAAAAAGTAGATGCAGGTATATCAAAAATATATGTTTTGTAACTCTTTAATTTGTTTAATGATCTTGTTATATAACTTATGATGAATGATCAACTTGCAATTTAGTAGTTCATGGACTGGCATTAGTGATAACAATAGGATTTAATGATAGTTTATTAGTTTATTATAGGACTTG